CTTCTGTCTGAACTCTTACTTTTTTTCAAGCAGTGAGAGCTGTGCGCTCTGTGCCTCCCACTGGCATCATCTGGAGCTGCAGATCTGTGTGGTTAGCATCTGCCGTGCTGGTTAACAGGAGTGATGGGGAAGCTGTAAACTGTGCTTGGCTGAGTCCTTGCCTCTCTTGTGCCCCTGCTACTGCCATTCTCTATTTACAAAAAAAAAAAAACAAACCCACCACAAAAACAAACCACCACACACAAAAAAACCCAGCTGCACAGCGATCTAGTCACTCTGACAGCAGCAAGTTTTTTCCTATTTATGGTGAGAGAATGTCTGAAAAACCTGTCTCTCTGTGAAAACATTAGAGACATCTTACTATCTGTGGCTTCCAGGCTTGGACCAGTGTCTTCAATGCACAGTTACTTATTAAAGCAGGGAGGGGACCACATTCACTATTTCAGTGCTGTTGATGTCCTCAAGACCATCACTCAGTTGTTGCCAAGTCTCTGCAAAAACATGTATGTGAAGCTGCTTCATGTTAATGCCACAGCGTGGCTACTCACCCAGAGCCTGTCTTCCAGATAGTTGTGGAGGACCGGTAGCAAACTTTGCCAAACAGGGTAAATTCTTTATTGTCTCACCAGGAGGCTCAAAAATGTTTGGTAAGCATGCCCAACCCAGACATCTGTGTCTTGTGGGTGGAAAAGCAGCAGAGGCACCAACACAGAGAGGACTGCTGGGGGAGTATTAAACAGAACGGAGAGTAGTCTTGTGACATCGTGGTCCCTGGGACACAGAAGAAATCGGTTGCTTGCGCCCAGATTTGCCGGAGGAGTGATTAGATGTTGCATGTTGAGTGGGTGCCCCTAGCCCACTGCTGCAGTGGCTGATTCTGTAAATATTGAATCACTTTCATGGAGGGGAATGATTAAGACGGCAGGTGTAGAATCGAGCCTTTGCTGTTCAGATTAGGTAGAGCAAAGGTTTGAATGTGGGTCTGCTGCATCCGTGCTGAATGCTCTTTCACGTGTGCCAGAGTTGTCTTGAATGGGAGAGGCAAAGCAACTCAGCAGTATTACTAGCTGAAGGAATGCTATTGCAGTAAAAGGCCCAACCTCACGCTACAGCCCTGGCTGAACATCAGCTGCACATGTCCGTAGCCTTTTGAAGATGCGGGCGTGGGTTCCAGTGTCACGGCTGTGATGCTGTGGGCAGCCTATGGACAAATAGGTTAGTTGCTTCTGTGCAGAGCAGTGTGTGGTTTGCCTACGCATCAGATGCTTGTACCCTCACTTACGATCCCAGCACCAGACAGGAGTAAAATCCTTTATCTTGTTGCGGAGAATGCATTTGATTCTGAGCTCCGAAGTGTACTGATTAAGTTTTGAGACAAAATTAAACCTTCTGACTTCCTTGTAGGGGTGAGATGAAGTGGCAGGCAGGAGTGGCTGGAGTGTAAAGGAATAGGACTGCTAGAACTAGAAAGGTAGATATCGAAGAGCTCTAAGAAAGGAAGGTGTGTACTGAAATGTGAAAGGAGAAGCAGAGTTGTCTGGAAGATGTTTTGGACTGTCAAGCAAGACAGCTGTATCAGGGAGATCCTATTAAATTGCTGCAAATTCTCATTCTAAAAGAGGCATTGGATTAGCACAGTGATTGCAGAATCTGTTGGATAATTGTCATCTGGATAATAATGATAGAACAGGCCTCTGTCCCCCCGAAAAAAAACAACACACAAACCCACTGAAACACCCTACTAGCTTGCCAGCTTGGTCATAAAAGATGGCTTTTTCCCATCATTTTCTATAATTTCTGGCTTAAAGATGGATAGTGGCTCAGGATCTCTATAGAGCTTCTATTAAGAGGCAATGTTTGTGTGCCCATTTACAGGGAAAAGAATCATGCAGCCTCAGATCCTTGAGGTGAACTTCAATCCTGACTGTGATCGAGCCTGCAAATACCACCCTACCTTTTTTAATGATGTCTTCAGCACCCTATTTCTGGATGAAACGGACAGCTGCCATGTGACGTGCATTGTCTAGCCACAGGAGACTTGACTCTATTAATTTCCTTCCCAGATATACTTAACAGCAAGATTTATATTTCAGTTCTATGAGCTGCTGATGCAACTATTTTCCTATACCGGTAACACAGGGAAAAAAAAAATCATATCAGAAGAATATGCATATACCATATACTGTTCTGATAATAATTTTGTCTGCATTTTCCTTGTCTTGCTTAGTTCTATAGATCATCATTTTATGTTGACCAAATGTCGTGTTTATCGAATATAGGAGACCTAGAAATAGGACAATAACTGGAGCAATTGACTTGTTTTCCAGGTAGCTTGATAGCTTACTTGCTGGGAAACATTGCACAAGTTCCCAATGTCAACATTAAAACTATAATTTACTGAAGCATGTTTGAGTTTGTATTTCTCTTTCTTATCTATCCCTCTGTTATTCAAAGATCCAAAATGTTCTGATGGGAAAATAATATGGTATTATTACCATATTTTATATATATTATTATGGTATATTATTAAGGAGGTTGTAGTGAGGTGGGTGTCGGTCTCTTCTCGCAAGTAACAGGAAATAGGACAAGGGGAAATGGCCTCAAGTTGCACCAGGGGAGGTTTAGATTGGGTATTAGGAAAAATTTCCTCACTGAAAAAAGAGTTGTAAAACATTGGAACAGGCTGCCCAGGGAAGTCGTTGAGGCACCATTCCTGGGGGTATTTAAAAGATGTATAGATGTGGACCTTAGGGACATGGTTTAGTGGTGGAATTGACAGTGTTAGGTTAATGGTTGGACTCAATGATCTTGACAGTCTCCTTCAACCTAAACGATTCTGTGATTCTATTTCGGTGCAGTGAACTGCTAGGGTAATAAGATTAAAGATTTGATGGCTCTTCCCATTTTTTGTACTTAAAGGCAAACAAAACCCACAACATTTAGGAACTCTCTACTACTGGCGGTCATCCTTGGCCTGCCCATTAAAGAAACTAGATTTTTTTCAGAAGGGGTCCAGCAGGAAGTGAGAAGCGTGCAATGTCTAGAGCAGCACAGGAAAGCAGAAGCCTGAAGGAATGAAGGGGATCTGGGAAACTGCTAGAAGCCCAAGCAAACTTTGGACTTCAAAGCTTATGGCCTAAGATGGAGGTATTTGAGAGTGGGGTGTCAGTCTGAAATCCGTTATTCCTAATCTCTCCTCCCTCCTCACAACAGGGTAACTGGCTGAAATTTAGCAATTTACATTGTATTTATGTTGTTTTGTATGTATGTACAAGCTGCAAAAATTCTGCTGTCCATCATGAGGGACGTGAATTTTTTTAAAGCTCATTGCAGCAATCAGGATCTGCTTGAGAGCAAAGTACAGTTATAAAATTGTATAAATGTTATAAACCTTGCTTCCAGCTTTGCAAATATGCAGCACGTTAGTGTTCACGATCAGGAAGGCAGAGGGATATATTAGGCTATTGCAGGCTGGTCTGCAGAAACCTACTTCTTTCCACTGACTGGAACATAGGCTGGAGAAATAAACCATCTGTGTCTCACAAAACTTCGATCACTGCACAGGTGGGGCAGAAGGGACAGCTGGATTGAACAGCCAGAAGTGCTGCCGACAGCAGCATCAGTCGCATGCTCATGAGTCAGAACATTTTTGGACTCCTTAGTTAAATCTAATTAAAGAAACATGGTGAAGTGCTCAACATAGATGGTGTGACTGCTTCTGATGCAGGGAGAAAGTTTGTCTGTGATACATAGTACCGGGTGCTTGAAACTGGATGTACATCCAGTGCTGCTCAGCAGATGTATTTGTCACTTGTAGGAGAGCAAAAGGCACTTTCTGCCTTCAAAGTATCTGAAAACATGTGACAAAGTGCCTGTGGATCTAGAGTAAAGGGCAAGGTTTCACTCATCACAAAGGGAAAAGTGATGTCGCACTTAACAAACCAGAGGAATTACTTTAAAAATAGTAAGATTTGTGCAGTAGGACCACAAGCTGTGGGCAAAAATAGTCTGTTGTGCTCTTAGACAAGAGAGATGTTTTTATCTTATAGGAAGCAACTGGTTGAACCAAGCATCCCAGATCTTACTATGTCAGCTACCATAACCCTGAAGAAGTGAAACCCGTGTTTATTTCTAAGCAGCTGAAGTGAGAAGGTGCAGGTAGGAGACACTAGTAGCTATGGTGTGTGTCCTGCCCTGCTGGGCAACAGACCCACCCACGGTCAGGCAGCCAGCTCCACTGTCGAGGCCTAGTGGTGAACAGGCATCACACTGAGGGTCCAGGTGGAGTATGTTAGTGCTGTTTGGCCAAGGCTGCTGGTGATGCCTCATGGGTGTGTGCAGAGGGCTGCTGAATATTTGGGTCCTCTCAGTTTCTACCCAGGTGCTCTGAATTTCCTGTTTTGTCTTGCCCATTGCAATGGTGAGAAGAGATCAAGGGGACTATGGCATCCTGTTGCCTTCAGTATTTTTCTGCTCAAAACCATTTAAAAACAGTAAAAACAGAGGAACAAGGTAAGTTTACAGGTTATTTTAATGTATTTAGCTACATTGTACAATGCTTCAAAGTGGGAAGGCACAAATTGTGAAAAAGAGCTCATCTTAAACATTTCCAGAGTACAATGACCAGAAGGTAAGCATGTGGCAGCTGTAGTGGGACACACCGTAGCACTAACGCACTGTGTCTGGTGGTAAACATGAAAGATTCAGGCCACAATCATGCCTGTCACTGTTAGAACAGCTTTCTGGAAGCTGTGTTAATATATGGCTGGATTTCCACCTCTGAACATAATGAAATTCATGCTTATTTCTGGAAATGGTTAAAATGCTGTTGTCATATAAAATATAAAGCTGTAATATAGAAAACTAGTACTTTTCAATCAGCAGTATCTTTTAGTTTGCTATAAAACCCAGTCAGGCATACACCCCTTTGTGACGTGCCTAGTAAAGGCGTATTTGTTTTAAACAAGTACTGCTTTGTCAACTTGTAATTAGCAAACTACTGGTATAATTAATTCAGCTAAAAATAAAATATGGCCATAACTTTAGAACATTTTTGTGGAGGAAAAAAAATCTTTCTGGCTGAAAACTGTTTATTCAGTTTGTTTCTTGTTGAGATTGTCCTTCCAGATACGGTAATTGAGTGCAGAAGCCATGGTTAACCAGGCTAAATAAGGAACCATCAAGTAAGCTGCTGTTTTGTTGATGTTATACCAGGAAGCAGCTGTAGCTGTTGCCGTGCCAGTCGTGAGCAGGAGAGTCACCAAGCCCTGAAACACAGAAGGTGGTTAGTGTTGTTTTCACTGGCTGCATTTTCTTGACTAGATAGCCTTTGTATGGCTCTTTCCACTTAGCTCTGGCACTCATTAGATCCCTCTGTGAATTAATTCCTTCTCAGAAAACCAGCCAGCAAAAAAAGAGAGATTTCTACCGAGTTATGAGTCAGATCAACTCATTAAATGATATAACAGTCACAAGAAATGGCACTGCAGCTGGGAGAAGGAGAGGGAGAATAAAATCCCTCTCACCCGTACCCTCTTTTTTTGGCAGCGGGAAGTGTTACATTGACTACAAACCCAGTGTGACATTGACCGAGTCACTTAGCTCAGTGAACTTACCCAGTCTTTTCACGTCATAGATGCTGCCTGAAGAAATGCAGTGTGAAGGAATCGATGATGGATTGCACAGTCTTCCACTGTTACTACATTGCATATATATATTTAGAGAACCAGGCAAACATTTTTTTATTATTGATTTTTATTTTTGAGGCAAGCTGTTTCTCTTCAGACTGCAGAAAATTAGCCTTGTCTAAAATGGGGGCTGATTACCTGAGTAATGTTATGATAAGTTTCTTTTCACCGCTGTTTGCCCAAGATACCTAGGAATTTGTGAGGCATAAATGCTTGCATTTCTAGTCACACAAAAGCTCTTATCAAAGGGTGGCAGAAAGAGCTTCTTGAAATCTAAACATTGAAGCATGTTGTAGATGAGTACATTCTCTCAGGTGGCTGCTGGCAGACACTGAAGAGAATTTTGAAAACTTCTGCAAGCCGTATTCTGTACTCGGGTTGATTTTCAGGGAGGAAAGTTTCTAACACAAAACTTTCGTTTTAGCACCTTGCAAATGACAGCAAAAGCCAACAATTAAGAAATTTACTTTTCCACTTACCCATCCCATTTTGTGAGCTCCAAAAAATATTGGAGTCCATGCCCAGTTTAATGCCAGCTGTCCTGCATACAGGCCCAGAGGAACCACTGACTTTTCGTTGAAGCCCCCCAGTTCCTTCCACACCAGGTAGGAGCCATATCTGGAGAAGGCAAATAGAAGGCGTAATTCAGGATACCGGTTAGAAAGCAACAACACGTTCTTGATCAGATGAAATTACTTCAGTGCTAGCATCTAAATTCATTTGGAAAAGTAGATATCCAGGTACTACTTGGCACAGTGACCGCAGAGGGTTGATCACCTGCTGGGAACAGCAATATGGGGAGAGAAAATTTCCCTGTTCTGCCAGAGCTCTCGCTTCTACGTGCAGAGGAGCAGATGATGTACTGCATTTCAGTCTTAAAAGAGAAAGCCGTGTTGAAAAGGAAGCAAGTCTAAGATCCAAGGATAAAAGGTAAGTCTAAATAGTGAAGAAACTGTTAATTTTGGTACTGGGAGATGGTGCTTTAAAAATAAATACATAAAATCTACAACCCATTAACCTTATTCATTTCATCCACTTAAATAGAAGTAGGAATTGAATGGCATCCCAAAGCACAGGTGAGTATGAGGATGGATGATGTTAAGAGCAGGGGGAACCCTATAATCACTTTTCAGAAGGAAGGGGATGAAGATTTTAGGAGTTCTGTGGAAAGAATTAACCAGAAGGAGCATCCAGCACCCTTCCTGTCTGTGGGAACCTGGCTACTGAAAGATCTTCCAAAAATATATTTAAGATTTTAAACAGATCTCGTTGATGCCACAGAAGCACAGCTCACTGGGGAGGGATCCCAGCACATAAGCTGCTGAAGACAGGAATTCTCGGGATTTGGGAGATTTACTAATGTAAGGTTTATTTTTGCGCTGAAGGAGCCTGATTGGAACAGGGAGCATTCATCACCTAAGACTATTTCTTTTGCTGTTTGACTTTCCCTTTAGACATTAGCTAGATTTCAATCCAGATGACTGCACAGCCATTCCAAGTGACTACAGCAGAATCCCCTGGATAAAATGCCAGCAGCTGGAATTGTACCCTTGTTTCAGAATTAGTAAGTGAATATTGATTCCGTCCTGGCAGGAGTGTCAGCTGGACTCTGCACTGTGCTGGACGGCAGGGCGCTCGTACATATTTCTGCTGGCAGTGGAGCAAAGATGGAGACTCACTTCTGAGCATTTATTTTTTTTAGGAGCAGACAAACATCCATAGGAGCAATTGCAAGGAGTTTGTCTTCATTTGTAGGTCATACCAGAAGGATTTTTTTTTTTCCTGTTTAACCCAGTTAGTGACCCAAGCTTGCTTCTTGGCCATTACTTTCCTAGGGACTGAACAATGCAGCCTTGATATCTTGCCAGTGTAATTCCAAAAAGAAAGGGGGGGGGGGAGGGGCACAGGGTAAGTATTAGAAACGTAACAGTTTATCATTGTAAAAAGCATCAGGACACAAATCTGTTCTTAAGTGATTTACAGAGCCACAATGTGGACTTACAGTTGTTCATACCTCGAACTTTCACTTCAGACCAACGTCACGATGTACAAATCTGCTAGGAAGCTAAATGTCGAGAAGGGAATGTAAGCTTATTAAATCTTGCTTTTAATATATTCAAGAGTTTCTAAAGGAATGAGATCTTTTGCTCATTCAAGGAATGTGTGCACATGGTGGATTACAGAAGAAAAGGCCTGGTAATAAATACAGTCTTTTCACTGAGCTAGACATATAGTACATAACCGGGACCATCACCTCAGATATCAGAATATACTGATTCTGGTATTATCTTAGTAAGTGATAAGCTGTCACAATTTGGATTTTTAAAATATTTAACTTGATATCCAGGTTTATAATGAGGAATCCAGAAACAGGGTTGCAAACTGTACAGTCAACTTCAAGGAAACCCTTCATGGGAAAGCCACTCAGCTCATCTCTTTGCTAAAAGCCATTTTTTTTATTCACAGGACAGCAATGATCTGATTCAAATACTAACTCTTGGAATATACAGGAGTAGAGAGCAATTTTAAAAAGTACGCTCTATAAGAGGAGTAGGAAAAGGGAATACTGATGGGAAAGGAGGGATAGTACATGAGGCTATAAAAAACACAAATTTTTCTGGAAACAAAATGAAACCAAAATGAGAGAATATGGAGAACCAATTTAGCATTCAGATACAGTTTCAGACATTGCATCATTGCTGTATTTCACAACAGGTGGTGTGGTATTTAAGGTGACCTGCAGGATGAGTATGTAATGTTAACTTGGAAAAGATCTGGTCTCTTTGATACTTTACATAATTAAACCAGTGCTATACACAAACTACAGATCACTTCACATGTACCATCACGATGGAACAAATAGGACGGGTAAGCCATAAAAGGCATATTCCAGCCTAAAAACTATTACTGTTGGATTAGCAACAATGTGTATTTGAGAGCTAGGAAAAAATATGCTGAATCTTGGTATGTAGCTAGTTCTTAATGAGACAAAGCATCACTTTGTGCTTGGGGACTGCGCTGACCTCAGCGGCTCCAGGGGCAGAGCACTACCTCTCCTCTGTGGCTCAGCTCACCAGAGTTAGCGTAAAAGCACGTAGCATTGGGTGGACAGCTTCTAGAGCAGACTGTGAGGATCATCAACACTGCCCAGTCAATCTCCTGAGACAACCTCCCTCTACAAACATTTCTGCTACATCTTATTAAAAGTAACAGCTGCCAAAATACAGGATTATTAAACTTCTAAGGTTCCTGTGGGAATGGTACTTGGCCTTGTGATACCTTGTTCATCTGACAGTAATTCTGTGCTGTCAAGTATTTTAAACTAAATAAGGAGTTTAACAACCTGGCAGTTTAATTTGAAAGGATGTGTATGTTTTGATTTTGGTTTCTTTTAATTGAGCTCTGTTAGACCAGTGCTATCCTAATTGCCCCTCTGCCCCCCCCCCTTTTTTTTTTTCTTTTTTAATTTTCCTGAAACTACTGAAGGACATACACAGAAGAAATCCCAGTGCTGCCTTGCTCCATTGCTGCCATCTTGGCAGGTCTTCCCCTCAGAATGAATGGGGAAAGCAAATTAATGGCAGCTTTTCAAACTCCTGCTTTTGATATGGATATTTGTGCATACAAACTACTCCCCAAACGTGTTTTTACCTGTTAAACAGGCACCTCGACACAGTTTCTTACAAACATACAGCCACAAGAAAACAGTAATAGTTTTCTAGTCCTGTATTATACAATAAGCAACTCTTAGATCAGGCAAGTGCCTTCACACAATGTGAAAAGCATACCCCATAGACGTATAGAGAGTTCCCCAAACAGGAGCAAACACCCAGTTAGGTGGACACCAGGCTGGCTTCTGCAGAGATTCATACCACACGGGGATTTCCTTCTTGGTTATCTTGCTTCCTAAAAATCCCCCTGAATGAGGCAGGAGGGTGAAACCCACTGCTGGGGCCCAGGCTGGTAGCACATCCATTGAGACAGTGAATCTGAAACAAATCCAAACATCATGATTGACAGAGTTAGAATGTACCCTCAGCAAGTTTGCTGATGACACCAAACTGGGAGGTGTGGTAGACACACCGGAAGGCTGTGCTGCCATTCAGCGTGACCTGGATAGGCTGGAAAGTTGGGCAGAGAGGAACCTGATGAGGTTCAACAAAGGCAAATGCAGGGTCCTGCACCTGGGGAGGAACAACCCCATGCACCAGTACAGGCTTGGGGTGGACCTGCTGGAGAGCAGCTCTGCAGAGAGGGACCTGGGTGTCCTGGTGGAC